GCTTTAATTGGGGCCTTTCAAGGGACACCACCCATTTTGGAGTTCCCTTCTTGCAAGACGCGCATGTTTTGGATCGGTTCCGTGTCCAAAAGTAATACTATGGGAGAAGTCTGCAAAGCCTTCTGCCCCAGACAAAAGGAGGCAATCCGATCTGCTTCTTCTTTGGTGTGTTGGTGTGTCGGTATGTTGGTGTGCTGGTTTGGCGGTATGTTGTTTTGCTGGCGTGTCGGTATGTGCTGGTGTCTCGGTATGTTGGTGTGTTGATGTGTCGGTATGTTGGTGTGCTGGTGTGTCGGTGTTAGTGCGAGGGTATGTTGGTGTGTTGGTGTGTTGGTATGTTGGTGTTGGTGCGTCGGTATGTTGGTGTGTTGGTGTGTCGGTATGTGCTGGTGTGTCGGTATGTTGGTTTGCTGGTGTGTCGATATGTTGGTGTGTTAGTGTGAGGGTATGTTGGTGTGCTGTTGTGTTTGTATGTTGGTGTTGGTGTTGGTGTGTCGGTATGCTGGTGTGTTGGTGTGTCGGAGTGTTGGTGTGTTGGTGTGTCGGTATGTTGGTGTGTTGGTGTGTGAGTATGTTGGTGTGCTAGTGTGGCGGTATGTGTGAGGGTATGTTGGTGTGCTGGTGTGTGTGTGTGTGTGTGAGTATTCTGGTGTTGGTGTGTCGGTATGGTTATTGGTGTGTTGGTGTGTCGGTATGATAGTGTGTTGGAGTGTCGGTATGTTGCTGTGTGTTTTGTGTGTGTGTGGGTGTGTTTTGCGTTCTCGTATGCGTTGGTGTTTGCGTGTGTGTTGCGTTTTGGTTGGCGTTCGCATTCGTCTGCATCTGCGAATGGAGTTGCGCTTGTGTTTGTGTTTGTGGTTTTGTTCGTGTGTGTTTGCTTGTAGGCCCTGAATTCCTGGAGCCCCAACACACTGTTGTTTGGTCAAAAGGCTTTGCCCGAAAAAACTCGTCATACGGCCAAATACGTTTTCCTTCGCTTTTTGTTTGTTAATCGACAAAATATGGGTGTTCTGCGGCCAAATATGCGCAACTAAGGCAAATGACCGAAAGAAACCAAAAACAAACTTACTAAAAACGGGCCAAATATGCCTTGACGTTTCGGGGTTTCAGGTTACAGTGTAAATACAACCAGGGCAGTGCACCCCCCCCGCCCCATTGCCTTCTCGTCCCCGTTCCCTGTGGTCTCTGTTGTCTCAGAGGCCTGGCCAGTGGGGTATGTAACGCTACCTCTGCTTTGGCCCCAAACAGAAAAAAACTCTGGCCCAAACAAAGGGAACCTTAAGATTTACAATGATATGAGCTGGAGCGTGCGGTCATGTGGGTGTTGTCTCAAAATGGTGGATCCCCCAAAATGGGTGGAGCCTTTTTGCTTGCCCTAAGAAACCATCCACAGGGGGAAAAAGGCATAAATCACGCAACCAAACAAAAGAAGAAGCATCTGCCCGTGTCCATTTGAACACCTCAAATTTGCCAGGAGCTACACACACAGGCGGCCTCAACCACTGGCGTGTGATTGGCCCCATCAGGTCCCAGGCGAGGCCGGAGCCGGAGGTACCGTTGTAAGCAGAGTACCAAGCGGAAAGGGCACAGCACTCCTCTTTCGAAGGGCAAAAGAGGGCTCATGGCAAGCAACTCCTACACTGAGCTCTGCAACGTCCGAGTTCCGCTTTGGCTACCTACTTTGGACCCACACCCATTTCAGTTCTTGTTCGGCCAAACTCAGTCCACTGAGGTGCTCCAGGTTTAAACTCGCGAGTTGCGGCCTCCGAAGCCCCAAAGAACTGGCTGGCACAAAATTAACATGATTCCATGTACTACTCTGGGTCAGAAGGAGCCATGGGCAAACAAGAAAGAATCTCGGATGGAGGGAAAGCACCATTCAAAACGAAACAGAAGAAGGAAAAAAAACCGAAGACGGCTGACTTTTGGGAGTCATGAATTTCCCTCTCAATCCCTCCTGGAATGCATGCCTGCCCATGCAAACCCTCATGAAATGCATGCAAAAGTTCTTGACTCCACACTACTTTAGAATTGGCCCAGTTCTAATTTAGTTTTCCCCCAAAGCAAATTTAGAAACAACAACATGCCCAATACTACTTTTAGAATTGCCCCATTTCTGAAGTCGCATTCGAAACCAAACAACAGAGCCCAATACTAAACACGTTCTAAACTTTTCCTGACCCTGGAATTCGTCCCCTTGACTTTATTTAGGGTCATTCCGGGGGGGGGGGCTATTTATTTCTCAGAGGTGGACATTATCGAGGGGCCAACCCAAACATATGGCACACCACGTCACAACATGGCGACGCTTCTGGGCCTAAACCTTTAAGTGCGCAGCTCACATGAGCGTCCAAAACCCGAGCTGACATTGGTTCTATCAAACGAGTTCTAAAGGCTCCAACAGGCCCTGCTGCAATCCCCACCTCCCCTTAAACATCTCCCCGCTTAACACAAAACTCTTGAGACGCCCCAGCTGGACAGCGTGAGGCCGGCAAAAACCAAAGGGTGGAATCACGGGCGCTGAGTAAAACATTGGAGATGCGAACGACCCTTCAAGGGCAACACAAGGGGGGAGTTCCCCTTTGTGGACGTGGGAAAGCTAGGTATCGCGCATTCTCTTATGTCCCTCTCAAATGGATCACTACTCCTGACATGGGAATTCTGACCGGGATTTCCAAAACCAGTGGCTCAAACCGCCCACATGAACCGGTCACATTCGTCACATTTTGACCCCAGCCCCTCCCGGATTCAAGCCTCGGGGCTTGGAGACGTCTCCAATCCCTCGAAAGGGGGCAATCGGTTTCGGCGTTCCTTCCGGTTTTCTACAGGGATCCGGATGCACTATACACCTGAGCATTGCCTAAATGGTGGTGTCCCTTTATTTTGGTGGAAAAAGCCATGTTTCAAATGGTTGCAAAATGTATCTTTTAAGGAGCCCTGTTCTATTCAGGGCCTTCTTTTAGGCCATAGGAAACCAACCTAACATGTAACTCGTTGGAGGAGTCCAACTGGTCTTGATCATGATTGTTGCACGCGGAGCCAGAAAAAGCACTTTTCAGCCAATCCATCGTCCCTTGTGTAGCACGTGGGGCTTGTGGGGGCTTCCCGCTACTGGCAGCTGGAATCTTTGCGTCTTGATTCGCCGAGAAGAGTCGGGGTTAAACTGACCAGAAGTGTATCCAGAAAGAACCCCCGAGACTCCGCGCCAGGGAGCGATCCATTCCATCCATTCCATTGGGTTTGGGGGGGGTTTAGGGGGCGTTCGGGGGGGGGGGGAACTTGGATTTTATGAATCCATCCTCCCCGCAATTGGCCGAAAAAGGTCGGATCGGCTTCGCCAACTGCAGGTAGACCATGTCTAAGGAGGTACAACCACCATGCAACCACTACCCTTGTATATGCTTGGCCTGCATCTGGGCTGCACTGAAAATCGTCTCCATGTTTGCCTGGCCTAACATACAACGATTGGAGGAGATCCCAGGGTTGCCTTGTTTGGCCATCTTTATTTGTTGGTGTTCGTTTGGTTTCCCTTTAATCTGTCCCCAGAAAGGGGGTTCCCACCAACAAAAGCCCAGCCTCACTTGCCCAACAGACCTGCAAATACAGTAAAAGGTATTCCTTTTGGGGCCATGACTACTGAACATGGGCCAAATCAGGGAAACCAAGCGGTCAAAAGGTCGATTCGCTTTGGACCACTGAGCAATTCTTCTTGGAGGTCACGCCTGCAGGCTCTTGCAGGCCCGCTGTAGGCGCGCTACCGCCGCGGACCTCACCTCGGTCAACAAAAAAGATGAACCTCCCCAGAGCCGTGGCCAAGCAGAGTTGGCTTTAAAGGACATTTACCTCACCTACCCACCTACCTTACCTACGTACCTCCCCTTACCTACCACCCTCCAAAAAGAGGCAAAGAGGGCACCACCGGTGGAACTAACCCTTTGCAGGGATTCATGTCCACTTTCGAGGTGAAGCTAAACAGGACAAATCTAACCTAGCGAAGACCTGGTGCTCAGTACTATTATTGTCTGATGGGTTCCCAAACCCAAACCCCAAAACCCCCAGCCCAACCCCCAGACCCCCCAGACCCCCCATCCCCAACCCCCCTTACCCAAACCCACGGTCAACGTCGACATTTTCCCGCCTGGTCCTGCCCCGGAGTGCCGGGCGAAGACGTCCGGGGGTCTGGGCCTCAGGCGTCAACTCCTGGCTCCATTGGGCATGTCGAATTTTGTGGGTCGCTGCGCACAGGAAAATAATCTGCGCAAAACCTGTAGAAGGATCATGTCCTTCCTGTCTGGCATCTTCTTATTTCCATGCAGGAATTTGGACACATGAGTCACAATCAAAACCTGGTATTCACACGGTGTACCCAAACCAATATAAAGAACTACAAAGGTGGCAGCCCCTGCTTCTGGTTGGGGCTGTCCCTTACTACTCTTCACTTGCCCGGGTTTTGATTTTGGCTCATTTTGAGAAACCGTGCGCAAAATGTGTGTTACCCTCACAATCAGGAAGCCATTGGAAGACTTCCATGGAAAGGTTGCGAAGAATTGAACACACACACACACACACACACATTCTTCTCTCGTTGGCATTGACCTTCCATGGCCCAAAACCCTCTCTTGGTGGGGTCCATGTAAGGCCCGCTTGGAAAAAATAGATGTCCAACCAAAACTCGGGGCGTCTTGCAAAACATACTAAAACAAGGGGTTTTGAGTTGCCCTAGTTGACTAATCACGGGCTATGCTGGGAAAACTGAGACGTCAGATGTCCGGTCGCTTAAGTGAGTGTTTCAAGTTGAAATCCCATCGATCCCAGGTCAATCCTAGGCAAAGAAGGACAACTTTTCAGGATTGTTGCCTACAGGGGTTCCCAACGAAACAAAGCTTGAAAAAGGAGCACGGGTACGCTTTCCCATGACCTGACCCTGAGTCTCCCACTACTGCTCGCACCCGGCATCGCCGCAAGAAACCACTACCAAAAAGAGACTGTGTGGGAAGAATCCCCTTGCTTAGTCGTCCTCCGGTTTTTACCGGCCTTGCTGATTTGAAGCCAAAAGCCCAATGATGGCACCCGAGAAACAAAGTCTCCCACACACACACCTGCCTCCGCAAAGGCACCTGAAAGACCAAGTGAAGGGACCGGGTTTTTCGGGGCGTCAAGCACCTTCAGACTCGGCAAGACGCGAAAACCCATCCGCTCGGCTGTCGAAGTCTCCCATTTGCCTTTTTGCGGGTTGCTTGGTTTTACTTGATGGTTTGCCCACTGTTGGCTTGAGGGTTTCACCGTGCTTGGGTGCCCGAGCTTCCATCCGTCCTCTTGGCAATGCTGTCCTTCGGGGAATTCCTGAGCGATGCGACAGCTAAGGAGCAACTCTAAAAAGCTCATGGCGTGATCCGAAGCTTCGTTGTTATACGGCTCTGACCCTTGTTTCAGGCGACCGTCCAAATTAATTTTGGCTTACCTTTGGCCTCCCTTCAAACCCACAAAAAAAAGGATCCGCAAACAAGACACACCCCATCTGTTGGGCAACCCCCAAATAATCCAAATGTTCTTAAGCATCCAAATTAAATTCCTGATTGTCTTAACTTCCGAAATGAGCCAATCTTGGACAAACCGCGCTTGGTCAACGTTCAACGCTAAACCCACGGTCTCAGGTGGTTCCCAAGCTTGTGACACCTTTGTAAAGCCAAAAGCATGCTTTTGGCAGCTCGGACAAGAACAGGGAGCCGTGCTGCAAATGACCCCCTGAAACAAAGCTGCCCCGGTGGTCAAACATGGGCGGATCAGCCCAGCTTTTCAGGAGGATCAAGTTGTTTCCGAAAAACCTCAAAGGCAAAGCCTCTCTTGAAGCGGCCCTTCCTCGCAATTAAATATATGGGTGTGTCTCGTGTTTAAGGCAAAACCTCGGGCAAAACTGAGAGCTTGGCCGTCTCAAAGACCAACTACCTGTTCAGCAGGGATATTCTCTGGCATCTCTAGGTGTATCTTCACATTTTTCCCAGAGATCCTCTTTTCAAAAAAAGCAAAAACCATGGTTGAAACAGCTGCTTGGTGAAAAGACCCTGGTCTTTAAAATAATGATCCGCGCATCGACCATGCAGGAAGTATTCGAACAACTTCTCTCGGTGTGCCCCCGCCAATGCGCGCGCCGATCCAAGGCCGCCGGGCGGGGAGATCAAGGAGAGCGAGCGGGAGTCCTTGCCGGTGGCTCGCCTTTTGTGGGAGACCCCGGGAACCAGCCTGATCTACCACGGGAACCCAACACACAACTATTTGTTGGAGAAAGACGAGGTCTGTCTTGGAAAGAGGAGACCCTTTGAGGGTTGCGACAAAAAGGATGCCGTTCAGCTGCCAAGACGCGAAAAGTTGCCCCAGGAATGTTGATCAACCCCCAACTGTCAACTTCTCGCTTCTTACGCGTCTGATCAAACCTGAGCAGGAGCAAACCGCCTCGGTGAGAGCGGCAGGGGGGGGGCTTTCTGGGCTGCTAAGTGGCTCTATTGGGATCCAAGCAAGCCCCAGGTGCTTGGAAGCTACAAGTATTCTGGGTGGGGAACCCGAAGGATTTCTAAACCGATGGCGTTTTAGGTGCTGGTCATTGGGGTGTGTATTTTTTGAGGGTACCCGTTTTTTTGTTTGGTTTTAAGCGTAATTAAACCAAAAGGAAAACCGAAATCCAGATTGCGGGCTTCCCAAAAAAAAGACTCACCCATATTGAACACCCCCCAAACATCTTGGAGAGAGACTTTCACATGGCCGTGCCCCCACCTCCGCCTGGCCAACAGGCCAACCGCTTCTTTCAATATTCGTCAACCGCTATTGCTTGAACAACCTCCCTTTCGGTTTCTCTGCAAACGGGGCCCGAAATCGGGGGATTGTTGAAACAACATGTTGCCCAACCCTCTTCGCAAGGCTCACAGTCCAACCTGCAAACGTCTTCCTTTGAACCAATCAAAAACAGGTTCCTTCAAACCGAACCTCGGAAACCACCTGGCCTTTCGCTTCAAACCCAAAGCCCAAAGCGCCCCAAGCCGCACGCTCCTGCCGCCCCATGCGCGCGGGCGGCGTGAAGGCGGAGCCGGGGGTGAACATGGAGCCCGGGGTGGCGGTGCTGGCCTGGAGGATGCGGCTAAGGCGCCAAAGGCGGGGCTTCTTTTGGGTGTCTTCTTTAGGGCCCCCCCCCCCTAAAGATGGTGGTTTTCCAGTTGGCTTCCCTTTCAAAGCACAAAGAGTGTCCAACCCAAGCAAAAGGAACCACACCCCAGTGGGTTTTGGTCTTCAAGTTGGGGGGAGCCGAGTCATGGCACCTTCCAAGGCTGGCGTGCTATGTGAGGTGTGTGTGTGTGTGCTTGTTGATTGACTTTGGCCGGGTTGGGTTAGGTTGGACACCTAGGTCTGGTGATTGAAAAGAAACAATTGTGTTCACAAGAATGGATCCTTCAACTTAACTTATGCAAAAAGAAAGGGTCCGCCCAGTTTCGAAATGCTGCGAGCGCCTCCTGCAATACGAGTTTCTCAAAAAACCCACAGGAAACCATGTTCGTCAGGGCCCTAGATGAGTGGACGATATCGCTGGCTCCCCATGACGTCGTGTGAACCAGAAGGCGGGAACTGCAAAAAAAAACACGTGAGGGGTGGTGACCCTTAAAGGCAAGGGTCTAGCGTTGTCTTGGGTTGTGACAACAATCCCCACCAAACATGGGTGTGTTGTTGGTGTTGTTGGCGGCGTTGCCGTCGCGGTTGCGCATGCAGTTGCAGTTGCTGTTGCTCGTGCTCTTGCTGCTTGCTGCTGCTGCTGTTGCTGTTGCTGTTGCTGGTGCTGGTGCTGTTGCTGTTGCTCGTGCTCTTGCTGTTTGCTGCTGCTGCTGTTGCTGTTGCTGGTGCGGTTGCGGTTGCTGTTATTGTTGCTGCAGTTGTTGCTGTTGCTGTTGCTAATGCAGTTGCAGTTGCCGTTGCCGTTGCCGTTGTCGTTTTGTTACTCGCTGTTTGTCTGTTTGTTTGTTGGTTTGGTTGTTTGCTTGTTGGTTTGTGTTGTTTGCTTACTTGCTTGTTTGTTCTTTGTTTGTGTGTGCTTGTGTGTTTGTTTGCTTGTTTGTTTGTTTGCTTGCTTGTGTGCTTGATTGATTGATTGATTGTTTGTTTGATTGATTGATTGTTTGTTTGTTTGCTTGCTTGCTTGTTTGTTTGTTTGATTGATTGTTTGTTTGTTTGGTTATTGTTGTAGTTGTTGCTGCTGCTGCTGCTGTTGTTGTTGTGGTTGTTGGTTGTTGGTTCTAGTTGTTGATTGCCGGTTGTTTGTTGGTTGTTGTTTGTTGTTGGTTGATTGTTGCTTGCTGTTGGTTGTTTGGTTTTGCTTGTTGTTTGTTGTCTGTTGTTTGATGTTTGCAGTTTGTTGTTTGTTGTTGTTGGTGTTGCCGTTGCCGTTGTCGTTGTCGTTGTCGTTCTCGCTGTCGTTGTCGCTGTCGTGGTGGTTGTGTTGTTGTTGTTGTTGTTGTTGTTGTTGTTGTTGTTGTTGTTGTTGCTAATGTGGGTGTTGCGGTTGTTGCGCTTGTTGTGGTTGTTGTTGTTGTCGTTGTCGTCGCCGTTGCCGTTGTCATGGTTGTTGTTCTTTTTGTGCTTGTTGTTATTGTTGTTGGCTCCGACGTTCTGTTCACGCGCGTTTTAGGTCATTTTCGTGTGGCCTGCGTGGGAGCTTCAGCAACCGCCGATCAAAAAATCATTTTGACTGCACAGGCGCGTCATTTCGTGAATCCGTACGATCGCCCGTTTTCGCGACATGTGCGAGGTCGTTTTCGTGTTGCCTGCGTGGGAGATTCAGCAACGGCCGCTCAAAAGCATGAATTTTGACTGCACAGGCGCGTCGCCTCGCGAAACCATGGTAAGCACACCCGCTCAAGTGCACCCGCTCAGAACTGCACACATGCGTGCCCAATGGCAAGCACCCGCTCACGTGAACCCGGTCAGCACTGTATCCGCGCTTGCCAAATGGTAAGAACACCCGCTCACGCGCACGCTCAGCACTGCGCACAGGCCTGCCAAACGCTAAGCACACCTACTCAAGCGCACCCGCTCATCTGCGCCAAATGGTAAGCACACCCGCTCAAGTGCACCCGCTCAGCACTGCACACATGCCGGCCAAATGGTAAGCACACCCGCTCACGCGCACCTGCTCAGAACTGCACACATGCCTGCCAAGTGGTAAGAACACCCGCTCAGCACTGCACACATGCCTGCCAAATGGTAAGCACACCCGCTCAAGTGCTGCACACATGCCTGCCAAATGGAAAGCCACGCGCTGCGCACGCCTGCCTGCGCACATGCCGAGCACTCGAAATGTTTGGCTGGCTGGCTGGCTGGCTGGCTGCCTGGCTGCTTGGTTGGTTGGTTGGTTGGTTGGTTCGTTCGTTGGTTGGTTGGTTGGTTGGTTGGTGGGTTGGTTGGTGGGTTGGTTTGCTGGTTTGTTTGTTTTATTGTTTGTTTGGTTGTTTGTTTGTTTTAGCTTGTTTGCATGCTCCGCGGCAGCCGCCCTGGCTCCTCTTTTTTTTAAAACTTTGCGAGCATGCACGAGATGTTGGCCCTGCCAACGAAGCGCGCTAACCCACTTGCCGAACTGCTGGCCCTGCCAACACAGGTATTGCTTGCGCGCTCCGCGGCGGCCGCCCTGGCTCCTTTTTCTTTGTCTTTGCGAGCATACACGAAATGTTGGCCCTGCCAACGAATCGCGCAACCCCACTTTCCGAACTGCTGGCCCTGCCAACACAAGTACTCGTTCGCTGCCCTGCGCAGCGCAAAACCACGTTCGAAGCCCCCGACAAGACGTAGTCTTAAAATGGTGTTGTAGACTCCCTTTGCGCGAAGCTGTTGGCCCTGCCAGTGGGAAAAATAAACTTTCTATGACCATGCTTTCCCGGCGCGCGTGAACAGAACGTCCGGCCGTTGTTTTTTTGTTGTTGTGGTTCTTGTTATTGTTCTTGCTCTTGTTCTTGTTCTTGTTCTTGTGGTTGTTGTTGTTGTTGTTGTTGTTGTTGTTGTTGTTGTGGTTGTGGTTGTGGTTGTGGTTGTGGTTGCGGTTGCGGTTGTTGGTGGTGGTGGTGTTGTTGTTGTTGTTGTTGTTGTTGTGAGGCTATCATTTTCAGATTGGTTTAATATGCAAGGAAAGCCGTGCCACTTTTGTGCACATACATATGAGGAGCGGACGAAACACTTTACTTGGCCGTAGTACTTTTTTGAACGTTATCGTTTTTGGGGGAGACCTTATCGTTTTACAGTGTTTTCGAACTTTGGCAAGTCCGGCTCGAAAATCGCAACTTTGTAGTACAAGTCTAGTACGCGAACTTCCGTAGCTCCAGCTCGAAAATCGCAACTTTGTAGTACAAGTCTAGTACGCGAAGTAAGCTCGAAAATCGAAGCTTTGTAGTACAAGTCTAGTACGCGAACTTCCGTAGCTCCAGCTCGAAAATCGCAACTTTGTAGTACAAGTCTAGTACGCGAAGTAAGCTCGAAAATCGAAACTTTGTAGTACAAAAAAAAAAATGGGGGGGGTTTTCCACCTAGTACGCGAAGTACACTTCCGCATCTCCAGCTCGAAAATCGCAACTGTGTAGTGCAAGTCTAGTACGCGAAGTACACTTCCGCATCTCCAGCTCGAAAATCGCAACTTTGTAGTACAAGTCTAGTACGTGAAGTACACTTTTGCAGCTCCAGTCGAAAATCGAAACTTGTAGTACAAGTCTTGTACGCGAGCACTCCGCAGCTCCAGCTTGAAAATCGCAACTTTGTAGTACAAGTCTAGTACGCAAGTACACTTCCGCAGCTCCAGCTCGAAAATCGCACTTTGTAGTACAAGTCTAGTACGCGAAGTACACTTCCGCAGCTCCAGCTCGAAAATCGCAACTTTGTAGTAGTAAGTCAAGTCTAGTACGTACAGTACACTTCCAAGCTCCAGCTCGAAATCGCACTTTGTAGTACAAGTCTAGTAAAAGTACACTTCCGCAGCTCCAGCTCGAAAATTATACAAGTCTAGCACGCGAAGTCCGTTACGCAGCTCAAAAAACGCAACTTTGTAGTAAATAAAAGAATAGTACGCGAAGTACACTCCTGCAGCTCCAGCTCAAAAATCGCAACTTTGTAGTACAAGTCTAGTACGCGAAGTACACTTCCGCAGCTCCAGCTCGAAAATCGCAACTTTGTAGTACAAGTCTAGTACGCGAAGTACACTTCCGCATCTCCAGCTCGAAAATCGCAACTTTGTAGTACAAGTCTAGTACGCGAAGTACACTCCACAGCTCCAGCTCGAAACTCGCAACTGTGTAGTACAAGTCTAGTACGCGAAGTACACTTCGCAGCTCCAGCTTGCAAATCGAAACTTGTGGTTCAAGCTAGTAGGGAAGTACACTTCAGCAGTCAGCTCGAAAATTGCTTTGTTACAAGTCTAGTACAGCGAAGGACACTTCTAGCTCCAGCTCGAAAATCGCAACTTTGTAGTACAAGTCTAGTAACGCGAAGTACACTTCCGCAGCTCCAGCTCGAATTCGCTTTGTAGTACAAGTCTAGTACGCGAAGTACGCTTCCGCATCTCCAGCTCGAAAATCGCAACTTTGTAGTACAAGTCTAGTACGCGAAGTACACTTCCGCAGCTCCAGCTCGAAAATCGCAACTTTGTAGTACAAGTCTAGTACGCGAAGTACACTTCCGCAGCTCCAGCTCGAAAATCGCAACTTTGTAGTACAAGTCTAGTACGCGAAGTACACTTCCGCAGCTCCAGCTCGAAAATCGCAACTTTGTAGTACAAGTCTAGTACGCGAAGTACACTTCCGCAGCTCCAGCTCGAAAATCGCAACTTTGTAGTACAAGTCTAGTACGCGAAGTACACTTCCGCAGCTCCAGCTCGAAAATCGCAACTTTGTAGTACAAGTCTAGTACGCGAAGTACACTTCCGCATCTTTAGCTCGAAAATCGCAACTTTGTGGTACAAGTCAAGTACGCGAAATACACTTCCGCAGCTCCAGCTCGAAAATCGCAACTTCTTAGTACAAGTGTCGTATTTACGAAGCACACCTTGGCAGCTCCAGCTCGAAAGTTTCGACTCGCCTTCTCGTTTTACGGTGGCCACGCAAGGGCCCCACCCTAACTCAGTTGCAACTGCAGGGGTTATTATAGAGCCGTGTGTTAGCTAAGGGTTATCGTTTTTGGGGGAGACCTTATCGTTTTCCATGGTTTTGGCATGTGTTATGCAAAAAGGTACCCCGCCTTGATAAAGTGGTCTTCGTGTGTTTTGTCCGTGGCTCATATGTATGTATATGAATATGTATTTTTGCTTTATGTGTTTTTTTTGGTGGGTTCACCAATTTGGAACACACCTTGGCTTGGAATTACTGGGGCCCGGCCTGTGGCGACAGCACCGGCATAGAGGACACATAGATGCTCTTGCTCACTGGGCTCAGGGGGACTGATCCTGCGGCCAAAACACACATCGACCTACGGTTCTGGGCAAACTGGGGTCGCTGGGTTTCCCCGAATCAAAAGTTGCAATTTACTCATGGTTGCCATTGAAGCGCCCACGAAACCCCGGCAAGTGGCGAAAGCTCAGCAAATCGCTCACAAACCGATAAGTGGGGGAGAAAGCAAAGACCCTCATCTGTGAGCTCGCTGAAGGGCCCCAGATCGGCGCGGACGCGCGGAGCGCCCGGCAAGGTTCATTCAAAACCCTGGATGTTGGCGGAATGGTCTCACGCGTTGCTCGGAGGCCAATTTGACCATCCTGTTTGCTGCTTGGTGTCTTCGTTGGCACTGGGGCCGTTGCAGTGACATCCTCAAGAGAAACCCTTAAGAGGTAGTTCTAAGAGGAACCTGCAAAACTACTCTTGAGCACCGCTCCAAATGCACTTAGATGGACCCCGGCTTTCCTTTTATACCAACTAAAAGGGGGGAGTCCCTCAACAAACAAAAGCGTCTGGGTTTTGTCGTTGCTTTTCCTCTCTCTCTCTCTCTCTCTCGGTTCTTTGGAGGACCGTGTTGTGAACCCGAGAAAACGTTCCCCCACGCCGAAAACGCGCTTATCGCGGTCCTTGCATCGGCAGCGTCACGGTCTTGGGAGGCCACGCCTCTGGCTCGCCAGACACCCCAAAGCTTCCAGCTGTTGGGGAAAACACCGATGAAATGGTGACGCTCCCATTCGACCGGTTATGGAAGGGTAGAAACCTGGGTCGAACCAATACCCGTCAATCCTGACAGCTATTGAATGTGTTTCCTGTCTCAAAGTCAAAGGCCCGAAATGGTTCTAGAAGAGTCCCAAAGGAAAACCAAAGCAGACTAAACCAATATTCGGTTTGACTCATGCTACGGCTCAGAACTTCTCAAGCTTGCAAACTCAAGTAAAAACACATTTCGCCCCTCTTCCTGAGTTGGCCAAAACAAGACCGGTCCACCTGATGGAGGATTCCTTCGGGGCGTCGGACCCCCTTTCAGGCTCCAGGCTTTGCAGAGGAGATGTTTGCCACCCAAATGAGGCTTATCATGTCGAGCACCCCGGGGCCTAAGACCCTGCGGGGCCATACTGCAGGACCAGTAGCCTAGCAGGGAACCCAAAAGCCCCCTTTTTGTAGGTTCCGAGTAAGTGCCTTTTTTGGGGGGCCCCCACAAAGGATTCCCTTTGAAACCACCAAGAAAGGGGTTCGTTCCCACCCAAGTACAGCTCCCAAGAAAAAAAAGGACCACTGAACGCGTCCCAGTCCCATCGAGAGCCCTGCCACAGGCAGCTGCACACCGATGGGCAGCGCCTCAGGCCGAATCCTTTGAGAGAATCGGGGGTTGACAAAAATGTTGTACCTAGAGTCTCCATGACCCGAGGTCAAAATGGGTCCATGACGCCTTAATATGACTCCAGGTAGGACAACATCCTGCACCAGTCGGTAGATGTTTTTATGGATTCCGGTCTTCATGGGGCTTAAGCCGGAACTGGCGCAGGATGTTGTCCCGCCACGGTATGGCCCCCGCTTTGGGCCCTGGCACTGCCTTGTCCCGCCTTTTCAGAAGTGGAGACTAAAAAGGGCCCCAAACTTTGTTCCAACTTGTCGAGTAGTTTCCTTTCCCACAACACGCAAAAAGCGGGGCCCTCCAAAAAGAACAAGTGTATATAATAGAGATGTTAATATATATATATATACAAATATGTGGATACCTAAACAAGGCAACGAAAAAGCTATGCACCCTGCCACCACCTAGCGTGAAGCCCAACTCGGGGCCCGATTCTTGGGGTGTGGCCCCTTTCGCTCTTGGAAGGTAGGCTGGGTGGGCCCCTTTTGACAAGACAAAACAAAGGCACCGCTCATACGTCCCTCCCACGTTTGGGCATTTTAGAAGGCATCCTTGTGATCAATAACATGAATCCAACAAACCTCCGCCCACCAATTTATTGCAGGGCCAGGCTGGCAGGCTCATTCCATAAGCGCCCATGCTTTTTGAGCAGCGAACCCAAACCAACCCTTGCCAGCCGTTCCCTACAAAGGACTGAAGCAGCGTTTTCTTTCGTTTTCTTCTTTCGGGTAGCAGGAGAAGACACGCTCGAATTATCCCTACCCCCAAGCGTATTTGCAGACCTTCGCACGTCTTCCTCTCTAGCTCCGCGTAAAGGCGTTGGTCTTGCCTTCCCGAAATATCAAGATCCCTGATGCTGCTTCTTTTCGGCATTCTCATAAGCTGCAAAGAAAACCCCACTAGCTCTTCAGGAGTTCATCGGCCGCACGCGTGCAGGACATGCTCTACACGAAGCTGCGCCCGGTTTCTGGAACCTTGCGCGAGTCAGAAAGTTCCACGTACATGACAAACATATGCCGAGCAAAAAGGCGGGGGCCCTACGTACATTATTTCCTTTGTTCTCCGAAACAAGAAATGTACGGGAAAGGGAACCCTGTTAGGGGTGCGGACGCCTGCCATACAATACTTGGGAACAAACACAGAACTGGGTCGTGACCCAACGGGCTGATTCCCTTTGGATTACCACCCCAAAAGGGTTCCCTCAAAAAGCCGAACTCCAGAAAGTGTGCATTTTAATAAGTGCAGTTCGCTCGCTTAGCCACGTGCGTTCTCACCAGGTGAGTTCTAACATGTTCTAACCATCACATTCTGTACACGGAGATAAGTGTTGCTGGCGGCTCTCTGGGCCCATGGCAGGTCTGGCGCCCGGCGACTGCGGCCTAGCGACCGATTTGCTGGGAAGCCCATGGGCCTTCATTACCAACCGCTTCCCTCTGACACCTCCAGAACCCGTACCTGAAGTTGCCCTAGACCCCTTTTAACAACTTGTTTGTTTGCTGCTTGAATGGAAAGCAAAGAAAAGGCCGGCTTGGGGCAAACAATAATATAAAAGGCCGGCTTGGCGCAACTTTGGGGCCCTTTCAGGTACCCTGCAAACATAATTCTAGATTGTTCATATTTAGTCTACCCCAATCAAAACAATCTGTTTGGAGCAGACCCCGGGTCTGATCAGCGGCTTAAGCCCAGAAGGCATGTAAGCAGCAGCAGTAGAATTAGTAGTAGCAGTAGTAGTAGTAGTAGTAGTTCTAGTACTAGTAGTAGTAGTAGTAGCAGTAGTAGTAGTAGTAGTGATAGCAGTAGTAGCAGTAGTACTAGTACTAGTAGTACTAGTACTAGTAGTAGCAGGAGCAGCAGCAGTCGCAGTAGCAGTAGCATTTGTAGCATTAGCAGCAGCACTAGTACTAGTACTCCTACTACTGCTGCTCGCAGGAACATGACAGCTTGGCGCCAACCATGCCTGGCCATGACCTGCGCAAAGCCCGCCGTGTGGGGGCTCGCCTGGCCGCTCTTTGCCGCAAGCTTGCGGTTGGGTTCGTCTCCTCAGAATGGGCATGTGTCAAAGTGGGACCCCGAAAATTGGTTCTACCTTTGGCTTGCCGCCAAAGCAACCCAAGAAACGGCGCCCGCCCAAGCACACACACACCCATGCGTGAGAATTGTGGACCCCCCAAAATGGTGGTTTTCCACTTGGTGTCCCTTTACACGCTTTTGTTCCCGAAGAAGTCCCGAGAGGCGCCACTTTGTTCTGGCAGTGTGACTCCCATTGCAAAAGCAGAGATTCGGTAGTGACACAGAAGAAAAGTGTGAACACACCCCTTAGTCCTGCTTCGCAAGGATCTGGGCAAGTTACCACAACTCACAATTCAGGAAAAAGGGACCTCACTCCCAAATGCACAAGGATTCACTTCAGCATGCGTGACAATCATCAGCACCTGAATAAGTGGTTCTGTGCATCCACAACTCAAACATAAACTGCCAAGGTTTGTGTGGCGGCCAGGCGAAACTGACGTGCTATTCGAACAAATCTGCAAAATCTGCATGGCTAGCTGTAAGCTTGGCCCCTTTCAAGGCGTGCCCTTAAAAAGCATGGCGCGACCCTCGTGGCACAATCTAGGCATGTTCCTTTGAGGGAACCGTTTTTGGGGTGAAGGGAAACCACTACAGGTCCCCAATTTTGAGACACCCCCAATTCATGGAATGAAACTCTACGGATCATGTAGCTGATTATAACCATCCCTGAAGTGGACCCCTTGTGGTCTTGGTCAGTGAGGTCCTTGATTCACCTGGTGTTGGTGACATTCTTCAAAGCAAAGCCTCCCAATGCGACCCCAAAGTGGGTCAACGTCAACGTCCAACCCCAACTAACAACCTCACTCCATCACCCCTGAGAAAACAAAAACGACGGCGACTTTGGTAACGTGCCGGGCGGGCTGCTAATGGTGATGTGGGCACTGTACCCGGCATCACTGTGTGATACCTGAAAAACAACAGCACCGACGTTCTGCGAAATGGAAATCGCCATGTGCTTATATAAGATGCCACCAGATAATTACACAACAGGATCCGGGCTTGCTCACCCTCGCTTCACCGCGAGAGAGCACCAAGCTTTGTGTTGTCAAGTTCTTGCCTGATGTCGGTCCAGATGACTTCAGGCCACTAACATGAAACCTGGCTGGGGGCGGAGGGTGTGGAAGACGTTTTCTCCAAACCAGACACTGTGGTGGCGTTGATGTCACTGGCTGTGCGGGTACCGCGCTCGGCCAGATCAAAGCGCTAGGGAAAAGCAAGAACGCGTTGCAAGTAAATGAGAAGACATGAGATGTACTCCGAGCACTATCTAAAATCAGCTTTGTAAGAAATTTCAGACCCAGCGCCCCCTCTTAGTCAGGGTTCTCCTTGTCCTTGCACCAGTGCCAGCAACAGATCGGGTGATGGAGCGCAAACCAAAAAGGAACACCAGTTTGAGAGTTCCGACCAATGTCCGATGCGTGCAGGCCTGGCTTTTGGAGAAGCCCGCTGCGTGGGTGGGCGAGGACGCTCCCAGCCTCGCAGCCGCTCTGATGGCTCAGCGGCCTCCCGGCGACGCGCTGCGCAAGCGGCCTCGCGAAGATGCGCTGCTCGAGGCCGAGCGCTCGCACCAGAGGCGTCGCATCGAGATCCTCGAGAAGCAGCTGGGCCAGAAAGAGCGTGAGATACGCAGAGTTGCTTCCGCGTTTCTTTCCCGCTCGAGCAGACGTGATCTGCGGGCAGAGCTTGCCCTGCGCTGGTTCGAGGCGGATGAAGAGTGGAGCGGGCTGCGCGACTATTCTCCCTTTCCCAACCAACTTCGATCCCCAGAGCCATACACCTGATGAAACAACTCGACCTCTCAAGCAGCATGAAATTCGGAACCTCCGCTCCCCTGATTGTGTCTCTTTTCAAATCGAGCAAATCGTGTGGGGCCAATGCGGATTTGCGACCCGTCCCCGATTTATGCGCTTGACATATGTTAAAATTGAGCGAGCCAACCTGGTTACATCCTTCCGAAGGCCAGCGGGGTGTCCACTCAAGTCTTCTGACCATCAATCGAGTGCGCAAAAATCCATTGACTGTTAGCTCTACCAACGTGGTGTTAGGAAGGTTTATAAACATAGGCATTGCTACAACCACAAGCCCAGGAAGCAAAAACCCCTTCTAAAACATGGCCCTGTCTGCTTTGTGCGGCATTCGCCCTGGGCTGACTGCTCAGAGCCGCACCCGGATAAAATGGGCTACCCGGCTACCCCTTGGCGATGACATCAACAACAACTTGGCAGGTTTTGGCCGCCCCTTTTCACCCCACACTTCTTGGGCTCCCCGCATTGGCTGCATCGTGAGACCGTGAGACCGTGAGACCCCGCCCAAGGGCTACACTGGTGGAAGCTCTGAGCAACGGTCGGAGCGGTATATTCCCTGTTGAGAATGTAAGAAAAAACATCCCCTGCATTTCTCAGGAGAGGTTCGGGTTTCGGCGCCTTAAGCGAAGAGTTCCCACCTAGAGCCACCGACCAAAAAGGTCGATGGCCTAATGTCTGAAACTAAAGGGGTTGAAGCGTCAGGAAATCCGACCAAACGAAAACTCCCATTCTTTCTGGGATACCAAAGTTCACTCCCCAGATTACTTCATGACTTTGGAGGGCATGACCTGGAATTAACAGACACTGGGCTCAAAACCAAATGTCCCCAACCGCGGCCATCCCAACTCCCGTCCACACGGTCCTTTTCCCCTCAGATGTGGATCCTACTTGCCTGGCAGAACGCCTAGATTCGTGCGCGAGGCGGTCTAGAACATTGGAAACTCGCTGTCGCAAGCTTGCAAGTTCGCCCAGACTGGCAGGGGCTGCCAATCACATACAGGATAAACCAGAACAGTTTACTCCCTGCAGTCTAACATGGAACCAAAAAAAACATTTGTAGAGGAATCTCCTTTTGGGCGGACCCTCTTCATGGGTTCCTTCTTAATTTGTAGGGGAGTACCAAGCGAGAAAGGAATCCATCTCTAGGAAAGGAAGCAACAGCTATAGGGTGGAGTCGTCGCTTCTTCAAATCTCGTGAGGTTGGGCTTTAGGGTGTGCTGGTACGGGGGGTTGGACCAAAAAACCCGCTCGATTGGCGCTCCCCCATTTGGAGGCTGCTTTGCTCAGAACCCCAAGAAGCCTTCAGAAGGGATGGGGTAGAGAGATCCCATTGTCCAGCGTCTACAAAATAGAAATCCACAGTCCTGATATGTCCTTGTCAAACCTCACCCCCACCCGAAGGAGTCTTGAAATCGGCCCATGTTCAAACCACCCGAAGAGGGAAAGAACCTTGGCAAGGGCGGGCCCAAGCCTCTGTAAAAAGCTTTCTCCCCAGATATCTCCCAAGGCTGAGGAATGGGTGCCCACTAGGAATGCCCACGGGTTGGTCCGGAGCCAGTGACATGGCGAGGAGCGCTCACTCGAAGCGCCTGGCCGAACTGTACGGAACTGAGAAGAAAGGGAAACGAGGTTGCCCGGATCTTTTTCTCGGGCTGGTGACTTTTTTGAGCTGCAACTGCAGGGTGCAGCCATCTGGGAGGCCAATTACCATAGCTCACTTGAAAAAAGGAATCCCAAGTAGAACTTTCATGGGACAGGTCAGAAAGGTCCTTTCTGCAAGCAACCAAACCTACTGGGCGTTTTCAACAAAATTGTCTCGCCCTTCCTTCAAACCAATCGTAAAGGGGACGCACTATGGACACGCTCGCACTACTCTAATCCTGGATAAGCTCAAACCTTCGGCTCCGGCCACTAAACAAAGACATCAAACAGTTGATCAGAAGTTGCACTTGGACGAGTCGCTTCATGTGACTCGAATCCCCCAAGCGCAGCCCCTTTCTTCCCGTCGGCTCATGTTCGGCTCCCGCGCCACAGTGCATGCCCCTTTACAATCGCCTTGGTCAAATCATCCCTTCTTCAACTTGCCGCTTATACACCCCTTCCCCAAAGGAAGAAAACATGTGTATACCTGTCATAAGGAAGCCGAGGGGCATGAGCAAAGGCTATGCTATACACCTCTCCCCCAAAAGAAGAACAAAGTGTATGCCTGTCACGAGGAAGCTGCGCACTTCGACTGGGATGGTCTGGGAGACATCGCTAAGGAGCTGACATGCGCATGTCGAAAACCAGGTGCAAAATTGGGTCACTAGACCGTAGGGCTCACAGCTTGGCCAACTCCCAGACTTGCTTCTTCGACAATGCGGAAAAGCAAAAGTGCAAACAGTCAAACCGGTAAGCCACCCTTCCTCAAGATAGCACTCGTGCGAGGACAACTGCAAGAACCATTTCCTCTTGAAGGGTTTTTTTCTTGTCGGGGGCTATGTTAGTGGGAGGGAGGGCATGGTAAGTGGTGTACAGGAGGGATGATTCGGGGTATGGTTCGGGGGTATGATTCGTGGTATGGTTCGGGGGTAGCATTCGCACCTTCCATCCTACACTAAACCTTGGGCACCTTTAAAAAACAAATACATACATATAATATATATTTATACTGAGTGGAGCCAGCTGCTCCATTAGTAGGGTATCCAGGGATCAATGTTAAAACCTGGAGGTAAATAATGTTCCTTGTTGCTTGCTTGCTTTCTTGGAGTCAGCTTTGGCGAATTCGGCAGGCTAAAAGGAATCCTGACCAGTGAAAGAGTTTGTTTAGACCAGCGGCTCCATTTGGGTCTGTCATTTTTTGGGGTCCCCCGCAAAAAAGAAAGAGACGGCCTTCCTTTTGGTTTCCCTGTAAAACCACCAACAAAAAGGTCCCAACTCCCAAAAAAAAGACAGACCGATTTCTCTGTAGAGGCTTAAAACCAAAGGGCACCGAAAAAAACGCGATTCCGCGGAGGTATAGCCTGACTCGTCGACCGTAGGAGCTTGAACTTTCAGACATTCCATGAGTCATAATCAACATTTGGTAGCAAAATTGTCAAGCTCAAAAGGAAACGCCTCACTGGACAGCGTTCCCTGTGTCCTCTTTCAACGTCACCCCCACCAAAACGAAACTCACCTTAAACTGGTCTAAAATCTGATGTTTAAACCAACCCAAAAGGGATAGAGGGAGCACGCCTGCAGGTTTGCGCACCTCCCGCTTCCTCTCCAGGTCTGCGAGCATCTGACGCCGCTTCTCCGCCTCACTTCCGGTCGAGCGGCCGCATGCTTTTTGACCCAGAAAAACAGCCTTTGTCGTGTTGAAAGGGCGATTCCCCCGGACGCCGCTTCTCCGCCTCACTTCCGGTCGAGCGGCTGCATGCTTTTTGACCCCTTTGTCGCGTTGAAAGGCAGATTCCCCCGGTTATCTACCAAATACATGAACCCATAGGGCTGTGTTTGCCACTATGGCCCATGTTCAAATTTGAGTCCAACACCTCTCCGAGCGAGGATAGTTGGAATGACCTTAAACTGAACCATCCAGCTTGTCGTTTCAATCAGTTTCTAACTCCTGCTTTTTGGAATGGATGAATGCACATTGGTTCAGAATGAACCAGCCTCACTTCCCATGGAGTGGATTGGCCCAAACAAAGTCCTTCAAACGGGGATCAAACAAGAATCGGTTGTAGGGAAGCTGATTCCGGATCAATACGCTGCCCTGACGAACTGATCGATTGAGGTGACAGAGGGTCCGGAAGAGCCCGGCATGTCAAGGGCTCAAGCAAATGGGCTTGTCTCATAGGGGAAACCCCCCAAAAAAAAGGGTTCTCAGTTCTCCTTTTGCGTCCCTTTAAAACCAAACAAGGGGGACCTACATGGTGGTAGAGGTGCTTGTTCAGGGCTTCTTTTTGCCACCCATCCAAATGGCTTCCTTGTGTGGCAAGATGTCACAAAAATCGCTGAGTTTTCTAGGTTGTGAAGGGAAAACAAACCCCCGGCCCACGTTTTCTGGAGTGCTTTTTTCAGGGAAACCAACAGGTAAAGCCACCAAATTGGGGCTCCAAATTCTCCAAAAAAAGGACAGGCCCTTTTGCCAGACAATCCTCTTGGAGAAAATCGCCAGACCTGTGACAAGCTCTGGAGGCTCCAATGGAACGCTCATGTGGAAATGTTCAAGTAGAGCTCCAATTCTGGGCCTGTCCACCCTATGGGTTGGGAGGTTAATCCGATCTCACTGGATCACTGGCAGCTTGCTTTTTCACAGCTAACCTGAAAACGCCCGTCCAACTGAAAATGAAGCCGGGGGGGGGGGGAAAAAAAGACCAACACTGTCCAAGGGAACGTTTTTGGGCTGTTCTAGCCAATATGAGCCATGGTCCAAATTTGACATGCCTTCCCAAAGGTCCTCCTGGTTGTGGGGAATTTAGAGCCCCTCCCATGTCACTTCCTCCCAAATGGACCATGCCCGTACCTCCATTTTATTCCACTTCGAGTACAGATACCAGGCGCAGCGTTGGACCATTTTTCCCGTGCAGCTACAAGCGATTTCGCTGGCAAGGAAATTCACAGCGTCACAAGGAAATTTGCAGCGTGCCCGCTAAGATTTGGCGATCATCCCCGGGTTCCTCAAAAATTTGAATCGCAATCAGAATTGCATACGGCTATCCTTCCAGGCTTTCTGGCTCAAATGCCTGGTACTGAAGATTGAAAGGAGTGGAACGGGGTCAACGTATATCACAGGCGCTTGCTGGCCACAGTCCTTGCAGTTTTGGAAAGCCGCACCAGGCCATAGGCCGGGTCTCCCACTCTCGGATGCTGCCTGTCTACCTGCAAATTCCTCTGGGTAAATTCGCCCAACCTATGCACTGTGGGTTCTAAGATGGGAATGACGGTTGATAATACCCTTTTATAATCCCGATTTCACAATGGGGGTTGTCGGCGCTGCTCCAATTGGGACCTTCATGGGTGACATTCCCCTGTTTCATTTCTGGATCAATCTGTCCGGTTCCTCGCTAGTTGGAGAAATGTGGGCGTGTCTTTCTTGAGGATACCTTATTGGGATTGGTTTAAAGGAAGCCAAAAGCACAACCAACATTTTGCGGGTCACCCTATTTTGATTTGACACATACCCATACGCTTGAGGCACATACAAAATTCCCTTGACACTTGAGTTGCGCCAAGCACAGAGCTTTGAGGACCCTTCACACCCTAAGTGGAGACCGAATTCTTCTTTCAGCACCCGAGACCTGCTACTTTGCTTCACCAAACGCAAGTTGAGCGTGCCGCAAGGCCCACAAAAACGAACCGGAGTCGTACTGGCAGCAAGTTTCAAAGGCCAATAGGTTCTTTGCCAGGTCCCTGGCATTCAACTCCCTGTCATTCAACTCAAAAAGTCACAAAGTCGGAGAGTATGGCTGAGAACCGCCAGACGAACAATGGCGGACTGTGGGTTGCCAG